TGTGCATAATCTTGGACGCTGCTGGTAACGCAATGTCCATAACAGCGGTATCCTTCTGCCAATTTCTATCCAAGGCCCACAGACTGGATGGGCTAGTACTAGCACTAGCTAGTGTTCCCTGACCGACTAACGAATGAACGAATGCTTACTTTTTCAAAACAAACCGCGCTTTCCTCTTTTTCGTCGTGCGCTAGATTCAGCTGCTGAGTCTATTGAGAGCCCATGAAGGAGGAGCAATGCTACTGAAAAGCTGTTCGGCAGTAATCTTTTAAACTTTTAGTGATGGCTAAACTACAATCAACACGCGGCCAATGCAGTTCAACGACAACAAAAGCTATAGATATACGACACGAACGTAACAAGATCTTACGTTTTCTGTCCGCACTAAATATTTAGTCGGCAATAAACTTAACGATCTAGAGAAATAGACATAACATCCAGTACGTAGCCGTCACGTAATCTACTTCTGTAGATCAATTCATCTGATATCGACCAGGCCATAAAAGTGAATCGTTGTGAGCTGACATGCTGCGGTAGAACAAGTATATGATGTCTGCATGAAGAAAGTGATTTGGTCTTATACTGACGACAGGACAAGGCGACCACCACAAGTCGATCTGATAAACGTTGAACGAATCACGCTTTGACTCCGGCTAGAATCATTATGTATATATTCTGGCACCATTCAACAGGTACAGATCACGCGTCTAACGCATTGACTGCATCGTCTTATAATAAGTTAAAATTGATCTGACCGCTTTTTAATTCAATCAGTCTAAACAAATTATTGCGTGTTCTAATAAGAAACATCTATTTCTTTAACCAGACTGAATATCTTCGAAGTGCAAAACGTTATTCTCTAAAGCTTGCTACGCATCGCTTTCCACCTATGCGCTAGGACCAGTCCCGGTGTTCATGCTTCTGCCGTTTACCTAAGATACCTTTTTTTAGGTAGGTTTGAGTGTATCATATTCTTCTCGCACGCATAGAAGAAACTCTCGACAATTAAGGGCAAAGTGAAGATTAACGTTGTCTCAATGGCGTGCATTATTAGAATGTCGAAGATGGTTTGCTCATATAAATTTGCCTAAAATATGCTCAGAAAATCTTGAACGATAGTTGTTTCGTGCATCTTAAACTGCATATGCTTGCAGAAGTTAGATATATATTCATATAGCTGTTGTTATATGATGCGCTTTTTGAAGGCTAGAATTATTTAGTTTGAGCTCTCCTTTCAAAATGTCGCACCCCTGGCCGGTCATAGAGTTGTGACTCTGCTTATTTGCTACGAGCTGAATCAATGCCGCTGTTATCCGTACAGGAAAGCGTCACTCTATGCTGGGCATGAGTTTTATAAATGATAAAGGAAGCTTTATGTCGACGCCAGCGTCCCTCTGTGCGGGGCAGCTAGGCACTGTGATATAGGAGCAAACTGTTTATACAGGAAATCAACTTGGGTCATCCAAGTTTACTGCAGACCCAGCTTATTCTTGCCCATATAAATCTTTGATAATCAGTTTCCTTATGAAAGGTAAACTATATCTGAAAGACCAGACAGACTTCCGCTTTTTGCACCCCACTTAATTGTACGCAAAACTCAATGGAAATTTATTTGTTGGAAAATGCTTTTCTGCGTCAGGGATTTTACACTACTTTCTGACCACAAAATACTGATCTTATGGCATTATCTCAAGTCTACCTACAACATGAAGGTGTTTCCAGTATGCCAAAAAACCTGTAATAAGGAAAATATACGTCTTAAAATTATTATTGATCATTCGAACTTCCGATTTTTACTTTGTAATTGAGGTGACACTGGCAATTAACCGAGTGTAGCTGACTGATTAAGTAAACGTAATAGCAGCAATAGGGGCAAAACTTAATAGCTTTTTTATTTATATAATAGCGTACAGAGGATACACCATACTTACAGATTGTGGCGCTCGCCAGTTAACGAAACCATAATTGATTAAATACTATCTCTTTTACGCGATCATAGTGGTGATCTGCAACCCGTAAAAGGACGGCACTTATCTTTATGATACGCGCAATTACTTTTTATTAGATTTACAAAAGACGATTCATCTTCTAAGGTGCCTCTTATCAAAGCAGACATTACGAAAAAGCTCAAAGCCACGAACTTTAATTGAAGGGTGGGTATAGTTTGTTTAAACGCTACTGTGATATGTTTCTACTAATCTTAAATTATGCGTGTCTCTAGTTCATCCTTACTATTAAAATGGGACCGCAAAATTTACTACCTTCATTTTCCGACAAAAAGGCGTTCATTTAAAACAAATAGAGATAAGAATAGGATATCGAGGCACAGAGGAGTTGGGGGCTTCGGTGGATGTGGTCGTTGTCTGCCCTCGTGAATAGTGGGGATGTGTCCGACGGATTATCACGGTGGGCCGCTGTCTGGCCAAGTGACGCGGCGGGCGGTGCTCTTCTAAACTGTAAGATCATTTCACTGTGTCTGTACGAGCCCCCTAGTCCCTACCGTTCATATAGGTTACGATCCACGGTCCTTGAATGTATCGGAAACATATGCAAAGTCCTTGTAAGGCAATAAGAAATTTGCTCTAAGATTACGATTATTTGATTTGAGAAGTCATTGCAAATTCCTATTCTATCTACGCGTCTGAAAGCTGTGAAATTCAAAGTCTAAACAACAACTACAAGTTTCTGTATACTTGATGGAGAAATATACCAGTAGTTTGATGCGCATACCTGCACGCTAGTCCTGTATTGTATAGAAGCAGATAACACATTTGAGAAGATTCAACCTGGCATATTAATTTCATTAGTTTACCAATTAAATATATATTTGTTTCCTAAATATTTCAATCATCATCATATCAAGCACATCTTTATTAAAAGAGAAAAAACAAAACAGAAAACTAATTACATTTGTGTAATACAGTAGCCTTCTCGTTTACAAAAGTTAAGTTCTACACAGTATGACCAGGCTATTGCTGTTAGTTTACTTACAATTATCAATTCAAGTATTGTTTAACTTTGACGATCTTTCTTCGGTACGGCGTCCTATCATAATATCACAGAAGCGAAAGTTTTTCTCATATACTAAAACATGGTGGCCTTTCTGTAGTTGTAGGTCACCAGTCGCGCAAAAAGAGCTTACGAAATATTCCTTTCTTTCGCTGAAGTAGATCGATTACGCACTGCAGTCACCATCAAAATAACACAAATATGACAGTCGACGCACGCACGTTTTCTTTTTTTGGATCATGATATCGTGCCCTATTTCAGCAACTCACCAAGAGAGATGGAGGACAGTTGAAAGGTCTACGATCTTCTCTCCAGTTCAGGCCTACGTGAATGTGCTGAATCAAACTTGTCCTCTTACGAACGAATCTGCTATGTGTGGTCTGGTATTCAGACCAGCTGCGGTCCTTCTTCGAGACATATCCATCTGAATTTAAAGGTCAACTCACTCGAGCTGCACTGTGGCCCACTCTTTACTGCTCCCCCGTCCCCGCTTATTTATGCCAACTTCGTTGCATCAGTGAACCTGACCCATGTTAGCAGAGACGTTCGAAATCTTTCAAGGGTTAAGTCTTTCTGCGGTATTAAACGGGAAATAGCTAGAGATCGTCGTTATCCTTCTTATCAAATTAATGGCAAAATCTTTTCGGGTTCTTTTCCACATACTTTCCGAAAACTATTTTCCAAATTATTTTGAAGCAAATTTTGCTACAATTTTTCTTTCTTGAACATTTTTTTTGATTATGTATATATATATATATGGGATTATGTATATAGATGTGGGTAAGGGTGACATAAAGCTGCTCATATTAGAGTAGTTTAGTTGATTCCCTTGGTCCTTGAAAATTTGAGCGTGGTGATTATCTTGGTGGCAGTCCGTACTGATATCCGCAGCAGGTCTCCAAGGTGCGAAGCCTTTAGTGTCTAGAATAATGTAGGTAAGGGAAGTCGGCAAAATAGTTCTGTAACTTTGGGAGAAGGGATGGCTCTGAAAGTTGATCCAGTCAGGTTGACAGTAGAAGTATTTATGATATTGTGTTGTCGCCGGATGGACTTCGTGTCTGTCTGGATGATGACCGAAGTTGTGTTTATGGACATTGTTAGCTATTTCGGTTTATGCTGACGTGAGTGGAAATTATCAACTACTTCAGAACTGGATTTCTACAGTACGACGCCTTTCATATGAACGACGACGACACCTATTTTCTAGTAAAGTTTGCATTATTGATTACTTTGCTTCAGAGTGTGTGCTTAAGTTTTTTTTAAGTTACATTATTAGATACAAGACCTCCTCGACAGCGTCATCCTGTTTAAAATGCTGTGCGAAAATTTACAGAGACGCAAACACAAGCGATTTTCGAGTTTGTAATTCCAGTTGACTTGCTTTACATACCCGACCTGGCCACATTGCAGGCAGTATTCTCACTTGGAGCGATTTCTGGTTCAATACATCTCAGTTATCGGATTTAGTAAGCGTTTGTGTGCTCTACAGTTACTATAACGATTGTTATTTATTTCGAATCTCTAGTAAATACTACCAGATTTGTGTAACACAAATATAACTACATACTTGAACTGTTTTGAGGCCTAACAATGTACGTTATTGTAAGTTTGATCGGTATCGACACGGCTCCTGCGAAACAACTTGTTACGCTCGGCGGTAGAAGGAAACCATAAGGACGAGTAGAATCGAATACGACGTCTATCAATGCTTATCGCTTTACCTAGACTATACTGATACAAAAAAATAACGCACCCATTTAGCCATTCGCTCGGAACCGTAAAAGAAAAGAAGGTTACCCCTTAAGTTCTTTATTATCTGATGATACTCAATCAGCTGTAAAAGATCTAAGGTCAACATTTTCTGAATTCTGTCCGCAGATTCCGTTTGCGTATTTCAAATGTGATTTATGTATTTTAACCTTCCACATAGATTTGTACAAGCTTATAATAGCAAAGAGTCATTTTAGGTTTACTTTTGTCTTTTTTTTAAGTTTCAGCCTCCATAACTTGCGTGGAGAAACTTTTTGACGACGACGAAAAAACCACGTATCCGAACCACACGCAGTTTCGATACTACCACTGCCCGGGCCGTTTTCCATCCGATCATACTCGATGTTGTCATCTCGATCAGCAAAGATGCTGCCCGACACACCGGCGATTCTACGAAATAGATCGAACGTTAGTATCTGGTAAACGCTGATCTAGAAGGATAATAAAAAGTATAATGAGTTACTTTCAAATACAATGCAAATAAATTATGTATGCTGTACAAAGTAAGAAACGCAAAACGTGTTTTAGATATCATGATGTCAGCTTCAAATTGTAACCCTCGATACTTCGGCCAGTATTGGAACACGTGAAATGTACCGCCGTAGGCACTATCGGCATTTTGCCAGTGAAGTCTAACTACACCCCATCATTCGTTGCGCGTAAATGATAAGACTTATTTATACGAATATTATATAAAATCAGTGATTAATCCTAATGAAGCACATTAGTGGTTGATAAATTAATGCAAACATATTTAACTTACTGGTTCTCATGCATATTTATATGCCGAAGTTGAGCTCTACAGCTGAGTACTGAAGATAAAAGGGGGCTTGCACTTGTGCAACGCACATTAATTAATGCTTTCATCTAGCCAGCCCCTCATTTGTTATTAGATTACTTAGTCCATTTTACAAATTGTTTTCATAATTTTATCTTTAAAATGCAACTTTTTTTAAATCATTCATTGCAGCATGTAGAACGAAGCGGATACATTCTATTAGTACACAAAGTATACACGTACGGGTGTGAATTTCTACACTTTGCTATTGCATTTAATTCGATTTTCCAGGTGGGCAATTGTGATATCAGTGACAGTGTCCCTTTTATGCCTTCTTGTTGGCTTATCCTGCATTATTTGTTGTTTCTGGCGCCGGTGCCCGCTTTGGACCTGCTGCCGACCACAGCCAAAGCACGATGTTGCCTTCGCTGACCAGTACGAAAAGGTGCCCAACGCCCCTCCTGAGGAAAATTGCACTGCAACGTATCGACACGTCCCTGTCGCAGCGGCAGCTACTATGACTAATGGGCACCAGAATGCCAATACAAAAGCTCCGCTGGCCTCTCTTGCCTCCACCAACGCCAGCCAAGATTGTGCGTAGTTAACCTATTTAAACCTAGATATGTTGATTGACACTAGTATTGTGCTGCACGAGAATAGAGTAACCCTGCCAAAACAGCGTTTGTGGGTCAGCCTAATTTTGTGTAAACATTTTTTGGTTCAGGTCGACTAGTAAGCTGTTTCTTTAAACAGACATAGCGAATAGAATTATTCGATTGTACGAACTAAGAAACGAGGCTTAAATGTAACTAATGCAAGCGAACAACAGGAGCTCTAGTTGTAAAGCTTGACATATGTGTTGTCATAGTTTGTTATTACTCTATTTATAACTGAATTATTTCAACCTAGCTTGCGGTAAAAGTGTTTCTTTTATATGATGATACTTTGATAACGTCTATTATAAAATTCGTGGTATATCAGTAGACAGAACTCTGGCTGATCATTGTGGGGGTGGCATAATAGCCGCTCATTAGAGTTGCCGGGGCACAGAAATTCGCACTGGTCGCCGATGATCGTCATCGGCGATACTTGATACAGACTCCCTTATTATTAGATTAGTGACGTAACGATACTATACACATCGATTGAAGTAAAGAGGGCATGGTCTCGTGTTGTCATTCGCCATTCCATATTGTTTAACAAACCGACTCGAACCTTTTCCTAAGTAAAATATTTGACAAATATGTGTAATCGAAGAGTGAAGTGTCATCCATTAGAAATATGAATCTCAAAGATCCATGTACGCCATGATTGTTCTTACTGGAAAACATTTTTCACTTTTTTGCTTGAAATTTTTGTTTCAGGTCTCGACGCCTGAGCTACTAGTCTTTTATTTATCAGCTAGCTGAAAACACCAGCTAGTATTCGGCGCACCATGTCGTCCTATGGCCTGGGGGTCTATGGGGAGTGACGCCAGCTTCTGTGCGCGCTATCGCTGAACAAGGGCAAGCTTAGCTGACAATCCAGGGACCACACATCGGTTTCACAGTTCGGTTATGGTGGGAAGAGGCCGATGCGTTTCCCTTACCTTGTGCAATTATTAGCGTCATGTCCTCTTGCTAAAGGAGAAAGGCACCAGGATCTCTCGAGCGCCGCGCACAGGATTCTACTAATCCGTAGCGTACTAGGTAGTGACATAAGCTAACCTGCCGCTTGCTAACAAGTGTTAATGAAGAATGTAGTAAACAATGAATTAATAGAATGTAAAGCAAATCTATACGGTTACAAACGCAGGGTGGAGGCGTACTATTGTAAACGGCTAGGATGTCGCCTGAGGATGTCGAATATATATATTAAAAATGTAAAAGCACTTTTAGAAGTCTTGTAAGTATAGAAAATAGCGTGTTTCCTTACGCCGGAAAGAAACATGGATTATCACCTCTAGGTCAAGCCGCCGATTTACATGAATTGCTAAGTTATAGGAGCTAAGCATAGAAATCAAACGCAACATGACAGGCATATAAAAAAAAAAAGCCAAAAATCAACAGAAACAATGATCGTTATTACATATTCTGTTTAACTATGCATTACAAATGTTTTTCGAACTTTGAGATAGTTGCTGAAATATAAAGTGCATAAGTAACATATAATGGACTTTCGATTTATGAACCTTGGAAAATTACGACGAGGTACGCAGGTGGTTTGAAGAAGAATAATCATATAATTTGCCACTTTGTGTAGTTTTCTCGGACGCTCTGGATGAGAGCCCACCTGCAATGATTGACAAAGGATTACGAAAAACGTATCGACGTTATAACGACGCTTGTCTCGTCACGACGTCCTAGTCCTGTCAATCATCGATCTGTGATCGACCTGTTCGAACATTCACTTGAATAAAATTGCTTGATTGCTAATTACTGTTCATAATAGTTCATTCAAAACAATAAATATGTAGTGTTCTGCCATGAAGCTGTTTGACCATTAGGGGCAGTCTTAAAATAATGCAGGGCATTTAGAGGCGGATTTCCTATCGCTATTTGTAAATGTTACTATATTAAGTACACAACTAAGTTTATCGCTTCAATGCGAGTAAATACCCAAGCCATTACTAGACATAACACAGATTTTTACAAAATGATTTTATATAGCCCTACGTTATCTAAAACTATGCGGCTTGATGAGGACTGTTATTATATAATGAAATATTCGTGATGAACTGTTCTAAATTCAGGTATATTTCCTTCCAACACTTTAGGCGTTGTGCCTTATGTATGTGGTATTAAAATAAAATATATTTTGCGCGTATTTTTTACGCGTATTCCAGACCGCGCAAGAGTACGCCCTCTGCCCTCATTTATTTTGAAACTTCCAATCTGATTCGTCGATCCCGTATCTTGGCAGTAAAGGATTAAAATCGCAACGGTACTAATGACAGCTGTAACGTGGCTCAATTTTACTTCTAAATACAAAATCGTAAACTTATTTGAGATATTAATATAAGCATATTGATATTATTATATTATCGTAATTAAACAAATAGAAAAAAGTACGATATTTCAAAATGATGACACATTTATGTATGTGTAAGCGCAGGATGAGGGGTTGTGAAGTGATAGAGGCTTTCTGCCGATGACAAATGCTTAATTGTGGTACGCTTCGTTTTGATGACAGCGGCAGGATGGCGGGCGAAAGATCAGCGGCCAGCTTGGTCAGTTGAGCTCGATTTCGAGATAGGTGAGAAGAGACGCTTGAAGGTTGTAGGAACGTCCTCCACCAAATTCCCGCCAATGCGTTCTGCAAAAACAGAGCGATTCGTCTGGCATTCGGCAAGTTCATAAGAACCAAAGGGTCTCTGCAGCACTTGAAGAAAAAGAAAATTGCCAACTTTTTGATTATTGTGGGTGCGAATTCTCCTGATGGATATCCAGGTCAGGATATTTGGCAACGTATTTCACAAATACATTTGAATTCATAAGTGAATTCAGAAAAGAGATGCAAAAGGAGCGCGTGTCCGGAAACACAGTACGCAGACTAGTGCAGGCTGGTCTGTGGACAGCGAACTCGCAAAACGACTTCTCCATCCCGGCTACAAGGCGCTGCCGACGACTTGGCCTTGTATTTTCTGCTTATCCTTCGGTCCTTAGAAGCGCAGAAACAAGCGTTAGCTGATTGACACCATGGTATTTAGACTCAAACGTTCTTTCTTTCGACAGAAAGCAGAAGAATCCGCAATCCCGGGGGGGGGGGGGGGGGGCTACCGATGAGACCGAAAACGCAACAAAACTGAAGAAGGGAAACGGGGTGTAGCTGCAGACACGTTATAATCATTACGAACAAAAGTGACCAATCGTCCGTTTTGCGCACGTAGAACTTTACCGATGGCGCCTTTAGTCGGCTTCTCCGGCCAACTGTCCGAAATGAGTGAGTAGGATGGCGAGATAGAGTATTCCGCGATATAGCCATAGACAACTTTCAATGAACGAAATACGTTTCGTGATCTAAAGACCTTGTAGGCGCAGAGCGAGTGGCCGTTGACCCTCATTCCTGCATGCCAACTACGGTGTCCTCCAAGTTTGCTTTTCGTCGATAGTAGCTCTACGCTTCTGTACTATCCCCTGCTAGCCTATCTCCGGCTCTTCAAGGCACATTGCTGCCACCTACTCGAATTGTGATTCTGTTCTTTCCCTGAACAAGTATAACGACGTGTACAGGTACGCGAACACCGTCATTTACTTACGGCATGCTCATATGTGCGTTACAAGCGTGGAATGGCGCATTCTGGTAGACTCCTTCCAATCGAACTTCCTTCACCCAAACAATAGATCTGTTTAGTTAAGTATAATGCTGAACTGTGTACATGTTTACATGTTGCGCGTTAACCAGTACGGTTGTTGCTATGCTAACGTTGGCCACCTGGCGAGTCTTATAACCACGAAATGCTACCATGAGATACTCTAATATTAAACTGCGAGAATTAATTTTCTCATTTCAACATAATAATGATGCACTGTTGTCTCAAACGCAAATTGTTCTCAATGGTATCCCAGAGGCATGTAATGAGTTTGTACTCAATTGTTTTGTTATGTAACATAATTATTATTACACACTGAGAAATAGGTCTTTCGTAGATGTTTTTTTACTGGACTAACGGTCGCCCGCGTAATTAACTGCAAGAAACTCTTCCAGGTGTTAACCGACATGCACCGATGGATCTTACTGTTGAATTAAGATTATTAGAAAGTCAATGATTGAGGTCGAATGCGATTTCACTAGAGTAAACATTTCAATTTGGAACGCGGAGTAACGACAAGCGTCCAATACTGACATGCTATCCGCAGCCATATTATACAGCGTGTTTTTACTCTGCCATGAACGATGCAGGTTTGATCGTCTATATCAAACGTCACTCGTTAGCTACGAGATAATATCGTCCTCAACTTAAAATCGGATAGCAACCGTAACGTTAAAAGACCACAAAACAAAGGAAAAAATTTACATGCAAGGTAAAACAAAGTGACCAATTTCTAAGCACTATCTTCTAGGACACTTATGTGGACATCTCATTTATTATACAACTATTAGACCGCGTTTCGTTTCAAAACAAATTGAAGAAAATTCTAAAAGAAGCGCTATGATACAATGACCCTAGTTTCTGAAAGCGTTATGATACAATTTCTAGTTCTGAAGAGTACCCTCGTAGATAACGCTGCCGAGTCCGTATACCGGAACTGTTCATCTAATAACATGAATGTCGGAATTCAAGATAAACATGGACCGTAGACTGCCGCTTATGGCGCCAAATTTGTAAATTTTACCGGCGACATTATCCATTCGAATGTGTTTCTTGATCACAAAATTATTCGTAAAAGTTATTTTCGTAATGCAGACAGGAAAGCTACGTCGACTGGTAACAACAAACGACGAACAGAAGGATAATAACTGCTGTGTGAAAACGAAAGAGCATGAATTGGATGTATGATTTATGAACAAAGTAAACTTCTCTGCCCAAAATGAGTAATTGAAATTGAAAAGTTACGAGGAAGCGTCGATCCAGATCGGCGTCAAAACGGATACGAACACAAGCTATATACAGAAATCGGTAATAGTATTATTGCATGCATATAGAGTATAATAAATATATGCCGATATGCTATAATTTGTCAGTATTTTTTGAAAAAATAATTGTGGATAATAATGGTAATATACAGGGTAAGATAAATGTGACTAACTCGCACCCGTTCTCGAAGTGTTTCCGGATTTAAAGATCATTCCATAAGTCATTCTTATTTTAATTTCATAGAAATTACTTCATTTCATTATTTTCATAGAAATTACTTTTCACACATTCGGGATACGTGCACAACAAGGTGGTATTCTTAAACCAACTCAAATATGATCTAACAAAGTGAATGAAAGTATTCCTGATAAAATATCACCATGTTTCTGTAAAATAGCATAAGTGACAAGCGGTTTTTTTTTCGAAAAGTACGTTGTGAGGTTAGCATTTATTATGTTCAGTTTTACTAGCTTGTTCTTCTTTCATATCGCCTATCTGAATCGCCGTGTACATGTCTTACTGTACATTTTATACATTCTCCATTTATACATGTGTACATTGCAGGACGTTTCATAATCATCAGGACGTCGAATTCAACAAAACTTTCATGCGGACAAAATCAATTCGTCGTATTGTTTTATTGCAATATAGCTTTAAATATACGAAAAAATACGTTCACTGCTCTTTTGAGTCGTATCTTGGAAGTAGAATACCACCATCCAGGACATTATCAGGGGGGTATGCGTCCATTATCCTAGCAAGCGATGAGTCAATGGTTGCCGATTTTGATGTCGCTGGGAGTGGTAGATATAGGGGGTCCCTATCTTAGCTTATTTACTCTATTTATAAACGTACGATTCAGGTAAATTCTTACTGTTTGAAGATGTGCTTTAACGATGAAACGCATTTTAGCTCCCTTTAAGTAAATACGCACTATATACATGTGTCTAGATAAAACCGCGCTTGTGTCATAAACAGAAACACGACAAACGACGCGATTGCTCTAAATTATATAATAATAATATTCTTATTATTATAAATTACCTTTGCAGTAATTTGTATCAATCTAAGTCAATAACAAAAACTATAAAGACGCCAACAACAAAAACATCAACAACAATCAACTGGGAATGGGACAAAGAGTCTGAGGATCAATTTTAGGGCATAGACGAGCACGGATTACAACGTCACAGCAACGAGTAAACGAAGGTGCTCGAACGTTTGAAATCGTATGGTAAATACAGGGGAGACAATTTTTGCCTAACGATTGTATTATAAGCTGCGTGAAAGGTTTTTGAGCGGCATAAATGTTTTTATAATCCGCCTTAGGGGTTGGCCAGTATTCTCCTATATCGATATTGACATTGATGTCGTCGTTTTCCCGTGCATTGACGTCTCATCGATGGCAGCTAGGGAGTTGGATTTGAGATTCGAGAAGGTGGCTCGTTCATTTTGCTTTTCAAGTTGAAGCTGTTGTAGCTTCATGCGGCGGCAGACATCAAACTGGGGAAACAGGTAACAGTGCACGGAGAAGAACCTGCAGTACGACAAAGTAGCACACGTTAGGTCCAACAAAAACAACATGGATCAAGTAGAAATAAGATTTGTATGTTCAGGGAACTGTGAAAGGTTACAAACAAGTCATCTTGTAAAATAAAAAAGAACTCCAACTGAAGGGTTCCCATAAGTGTGTTCGCTTTATAATTAACCAAACGTAACAATGTAAGGCGCTAAATCTATACCAGAGCGGCGAAAAACTTTACAATTAGTATACGGTACATAAGCATTTACTAACCTTGTCGGATCGAGACGATGATCAAATGCCTCGTTCAGACTGAGTACATTTCCAGCTCGTGAATAACTGAACGAAATCTGATTGCGAAAGGTTTCTTCTTCGATATATCCGAGAGATTCTAAATGGGAATGGAAATTGCTGAGCACTGTCAAACGGCGTCCGAGCAGAACTTCGACCACAAAACCCATAGTTACATCATCAGGAAGACGGATCGAATCACCTATTGATGTGAAACGCCCATTGCTGGAAAACAATGCACGAACAACGAATATTTATTTGTTAATTTTTTTTATAAGCATTTACTTGATTTTAGGTAACTGGTATTTGACTATTCATAATTATATAAGAGACCGTTCAGAACATAATCTGCTTATGGTGTTTCTGATACCAAGATTAGTTGTTGTTAGCAACCTCTTCTTTCTTGACAGCATTATAAAGGTATTACCAATTTTGGGAATAAGCAAAATTTGTTCCGCTATTCAGTCCACCATCAGTTTCATCTTCACACGATAATCTATATTTAATTATATTTTTTAATTATTATTATTATTATTTAATGGTTTATTTTAAATTTAGCAATAATGATAAATGTTAAAAGGTGTGTATGATCTATTCGTTCAATATTACTTTTCATTTATCTTTGCACTCATTACTCGATCCTTCAATATATGGTAGTAGATATGGCACAAGCCGCTGCCATCCCCTGGACGAACGGCCCTGTAGGATAGCGAGGTGAAGATGCTGGCATTGTATGATTGCACATTATGAGACCTGTTTACTCGACACGTGCCCTACAGACAAAGCTGTCTGACATCCCTATTAACGTAACAGTAAACAGCAACGGGAGAGGACCGGAAAGACACTCTAGGTTGGCGCTTTCGGCCTTCAAAAATATCCGCACACCACTTTATCTATTTAGGGATGCTTGCCTGCCACTTGACCCGATGATGTGGAGGAACCTTCGTCGCTTTTAGCTTTATCAACACACAAAATGTGCCATCTCCGAAAATCTGCGTACCTCCCCTATCGCCCGTCATTCTATATATATTTTGTCCGTATCGCTTCTGTATTCTAGTCTAGACCAGTGGGTCCACTTGAGGTTCGTAGTAGATCAGTTTTCGCGGTGCGATAAGTCGCTCTAGCCTCCACGTTCCCGATCATCCATCCTCCTTACACCTAATTTTCGCTTACTAGTTACTATTTCAGGGTCGACAATGGCCAAGCTCCTATCAAGTGAAGCTCTTTTTCAGATTTTCTTAAAAATTCGCTAATTCGCATATTCAAGAGCTCTACTGTTTAGCTTTTTCATTCATGGGTTTCCTGAATAATCTCTTTCCCTGGCCATTATAACTGCCCCTTGCCTTAATTATAGTTCTTTGCTTTAATAATTCTTAATTATAGTTATTGTAATTAACATGGTTAATTAATACATTAACGGTATGGAATATGACTCTTGTATAGGATATTTTGTGGGTATGTCGGATAATACAGAATAAAATTGCGAAAAAAAAAACCATACAACCCTAGCGCAAACGTTCGCAAAGGCACGATCACAGATCGTTGGTAGCCAGCGTGACCTCGTCCCCAGTATTCATTGCATTGCGTGCATCAACAAGCGTATTCTGTTCAGAGTGCAAAACCGCACATGAAACCCATGTTCAGCATATACATGCAAATTATATGCGTACTACTAGATCCGCATACCATCAGCTACTAAATAGCTAAAAGGGAAGCACGGCCAATTTGTGCTATCTTATCCTTGAAGGCCGCTGCTTTCAATGAATGAAATCTCGACGGCAAGTATTGTATGGGAAGCAGTGTTTGATCGGGTTGGTTAACCCGGTTCGTCTGGAAAAGTTGGTTTGTTGTTAGACATTGTTAGCGAAATATTTAAAGATGCCGTTAACGCTACCTTGAAACCAAAATCAGCCAGTGCTTCTTTTAAGGAGAGCTTGTGTGTTTTGTCAAGTACCGGCTGCTACCAGTGCGTTTGTTATTGCTAGCCTACTTCAAACATAGCCGCCAAATAAATAAATGAAAGAACTAACACATTGTAGTCTTCTACTACTAAAATACAAACTGTCCTACACTGCAAGTCAGCCACGAAATTTCGTAGCCTTTATCTTCTGAATATTCATAGTCGGTCCGAGATTATTCACGTAGGCGCGAAGGTTTGTTATTGTTTATCGAAAATGAAAGCGGCTTCTGCTAAATGCCACGACGTCTGCACAATTATGCCCAACATTAATCTGAATATACCAGTTCATGATGACATCGAATGAATCGCACAAATGCTCCGGAAGTGTGCAGCTCTCATCAAGGTTCAAGGCTCGTGCAGTGGGCGCGAAAGCCGTGCTGCTGCTCCTCCGGAATAATTTCATAATGTACGAAAATTTAGAGACATAGACGGTCAAAAAACAAGGCTAGAAGTTCTACCAGCATCTCCCTTTCAAGATGCCTTATCAAGTTAAAGATCGTCCTTCCTTTTAGAAATAACGATTAGTAATTCTCAAAACCAATTATTGGGTATCTGACGCCCTACAAATAAGAAGGAGAGCGCCCCAAAAAGGCGCCAGAAATAAGGTCTACTTAATAATAGCCTCTATTATTGTATTTGTGTCTTCTTGGTCCAGTGTCTGTTATTTATTTAAATAGTAGTGTTTTGAGATTTATGTCGCGCACTACCTGTTGCTTTAGCCTGACTTTCAGCACGAAGCAGAGTGTGTCTATGTGCGTTTTCGAAACCAGACCTCGCGCCTAGAAGTTTATTAGCAGTAATAAATACGTTACCACCTAACTCATAGTGACGCTTAACTCATAACTACCAAGTTCTTTCCGCTTTGCACATATCGAGTTCTAGATCTATTTAGCTAAATTTTTCTAAAATATGATTTTTCTCCAGCCAAGTGAGTCTCCGACACTGAGCAAAAAGCAGCATTTAAATGTCCCATAAAAATATTGCAGTATTACGGCATTTTCCTATCTCAAAATTCGAACCATAGAGCCATTCCATACAAGCGCAATATGTCATTATTATTAGGTACGGATTGACACTTGATTAGAAATTTGTTAATGTCATTGGTCATTACATCATAAGAACGTTAATAATGACGAGTCTATTGTGGTTCTAGGCATAGCTCGTCTGAATATAATTTACCGTCTGACAGGATACGAGCTTGCCCACCTGGTCGCATATTATTATACACACTTTATTAGCAAAGTTTTTTCCCCTTTATCTTGCTGACTTGCTATATATATGCGCATTTTCGTTTCTCTGTCTATAATTGTGTAACAGATGGTGTAAAGACTAACTGACATTAGCGGCTAGCGTGAGTTGATCCAAAGAAAAGCACAAAGGATAGACGAATTTGGTCCTTCATTCGACAGCCGGTCGCTCCGTCTATCGAAGGCTTTGCCCGCAGTCCACCGTCGTAATCGCCGTCGCCGTTTCTATCAGCAGATACCAACAGCTACAGCAGGAGCATTGATTGTGATAAAGCAACCGCTGCTTACCGTACTACTTCAGTTGCTCGATACAGAAAGATTGCGGAAATGCTATCCCGAATAGTCCGGGAAGCCAACCCTCTTCAGGGATACTCACCTCCAAAAATTGCCAACAGTAACTTACCGCTTTGACGTTTGACGTCAAACAATAGTCTATTGAATTCGAATACAACGCCGAACAAAGTAATCTGCTTACAACTCATACACTCACATAACAGTAAGTTCCAACCGTAACATCTGAGATTTTTCGAAATAGCCATGTATAGAAGCGCATTTATGCATTTCAATCTCAATATTTTCATACGGTCTATAACCTGTTGCATTTAATAAGATTCCAATGAAAAGAGAATAATTATATTGCTGACGGCAGTAAAGCCTGTTTAGCGAGACGATGAATTGGGCTGAACCATGGGGCCAGCAGTATTACGTAGCCGTCGTCTTGCACAATGAAACCGTGTTGTTTGTTCCTGCGTTGTTCGAAATACTTCTGGCGTTTGCTTGGCGTGTGCCAGATGGCATCGCTACGTCTCTGAGTCGACCGCACCTCATCGGTGCTTACGTCACCTCAATCGTGCCCTATCTGCTATCGTACTGTATCTGTTTAGTGGTTGTCGTTGATAGAGAGGTTTGGTATCTTTGCAGCTCACATTCTTATAGAGACAGTAAAGATTAGACGGCAACGGTTCCGTCTATTTCGTATAAAAGGCTCGTGTCGAAAATACCCTTTGCACCCAGGTATTAGTACTAGATGCATTCGCTTTGTAGATATTTTCTAGCCTACGCAAGGCGGGACGACTAAATTCGAACTTTTCTCACGAGGTATTTCGAAGACTGAATCCGAATATATATTTCAACAAAATATTTTGCATGTGCTAGAAGTGTCGTTCCTTCGTCCTTTTATTCAAGTGCTTTCCGACTATGCTACATAAAAAAATTTCAGTAAAATTAAATTTTGGACTAGCGGCATAGCGAAGGTCATAAAAAATGTAAAAACTTAAAACGAGCAATAAACGGACAAGGACGAAATAGGCACAGAAAGTCTCAAAAGAACAAACCGCTCATCGGCATAGCTCAAATGGTAATTGTTGATACTAAAAAATAAAACGGTCGTTATTTCTACACCAATGTCCCAAGTATACCAATAATGACTTTTTGAGCCTTTTAGATTTCAACTCTACTACGGATCTCGCGCTTTGCCTTAAAAACAACTTAAAAATCGCCAGTAAGGTAGAGCATCGAAGCAAAAAAACTGTGCAATTTCGGTGAAGGTTTGTCCTACGTGAACACACGGGACAATCGCTCACCTTTGTTCAAATGCCGCAAACTTTTTTGTCATGATAAAGATAAACGAACTTCATTCTATTACCAAAAACCGATTTATACCTTTAGTACAATGCTGAATAGGTTATTAAACATAAATCTATTCTTTAATAGAGTGAAGTTACGCTACTGAGCCGATATCACAGTTTAACAACATAAAATAGCTTGGGAAACGTCTATAGCGTATGGTGAGCATTAATCTCAAAACGTGGTAATGACTATTATCGCCCGACATAAGAATCGAGCCTGATTATAGGGCGATTATCATAAGTTTTTGTCATGCAAATTGATTCGGTGCGAAAGCTTTGTGGTCGTTCCTTGTTACTATAACGAAGTAGCGTTCCAGGATCAAGCCGACTAGTTAATAACATTCAGAAAGCAACGGCAGACTAGTTTTAACTTAATTAAAGTTCTCAAAAAATATTCAAGTTCAAATTGAACTGTTAACTTAAGCTGATGATGATCAAGGTTAACCTTCAAATAGTCCTTTTTTTTCAGTTTCTGTGAATATTTAGCTTCCGTTCGACAAAAGTAGACTAATGTCGCAAGTGGTTTAACATTGTAAACATTAATAGAAATATGACGTCGTATATACATTTCTGGAAGAATCATTCTTTTACTGCAATATCGCTATGCTCAAGACAATAATGTATAACGTAATGATGGAGTTCTTCATTGCTAAATCAGGTTTGCTTGTTTTAGCATCGACCTTTAGTACGTACTATCACCAGAATCGACGTTCTCATCAAGTCTGTATTTCGATAGCCTGACCTCGAATAAATTTGCCAATAGCTTACGCTTTTGCACGTGAAGGCAGTCTGTGTACAACAGGACTCCAGTATCTTCCTGACTAAGCTATATTGCTATGAAGTTATATCTTTTAAATTTCCCCCTATGCTTTGCTAGGTTTGTTATACGCTAGTCGCGAAAAGAGTGTACTGATTTCAAAACTAAGAATACCGACATGAACTATGCATGCCCACAAGCTCCAACAATGATTTCTCTTCGAAAAAGTTTCGGACATCGACCTAGCTGGTGCTGAGTGAGCTGCTGCCCGAAGTGTGCCTCAGTCAGTCTGGGGCCCCCATCGTTTTCTTCGAAAAGCTCCAGGCCGACAGAAGTGCTGAATATGCGCGTTATTTAAAGACAGACACTTCTTAGCCCCTAACCGAAAATGTCCATCGGACATAGCGAAATTCTATCCGAAGTCCGATTGACTTCTCTCATAGACATGTAGATATACTTTCAATACGTTCTCCTCTAATGCTACTGAAAAAAGCACCATATAACCTATCTAAATATTCATTAGTTTAGACTGCATTTTCCATTCTATCTACCAGAAACCAGACAAAGGGCAATGAGCTAACATGTAAAAACATATTTTGGCTACTGCATGAAAAGCTTCGTCCAAGGTTTACTGTTTCAGATATAGATGATTCGTCAAGCTACGGTGACATCAGTCTGTTTGCATTGCATGCGTACATATATATATATGCACTGCATGAATTGAACCTTTTGGTTTTTCGAGGAAGATTTTCATGATGCAAAACCTCGAGACCTGGGTTTTCAGCTCTTATACTTTTGAGACTTTTGGCCTTTTTAATACATATGGAGTGCTTTTAACTAAATTTAATTGAGCTTTACCATATATCATTAGCTATAAAAGTATTATACATAAGGTCCAACTATATAATAAAAGTATGCCACCGCACAATCTGTAGTGACGATTGTTACAACGCCAATTATAACAAACAAGTAACGTTCGGACTGAACAAAAATGGGCCATTATCGTCTGCTTTCTATTTTTCCGTTTTTTATTATCAGGCTTCCAATTATTCTCTTGTTATTATATTCTTTACCATGAACATTTTCTATATAGGAATGGGAGTACGACCAAGCACATCTGATGTAGTTTTCCTTTAGTTCGAGATTACGAAGCTAAGTCTGCCAGCCACTGCCTCCTTCTTTTGTTATTACCAACATGGGCCCATCTCTCTTTCATATATATATATATATATATACAGTGTGCTGCATTCGGTATCGGCGAAAGCTTCAGCGGAGTATTTGTCGTAACGGTTATGCGTTCATCCGTTATTCCTAGCACTAGACGAAAGTCAACTCTTTCAAGAACAAAATCACCATTACGAACGACGGTCCTTTGTATTTGGAATTTGAGTGAAGATCAGGTGTTACCAATCTTTCCGCGTTCGATGAACCCTTACCAAGGTTAAAAACTTTCTTTTTCCTTTACATCAACAGTCTCTGTGATTGTCAGTTTTATAGAGCTTCTAGAAAGCCCGAGGAAGGATGAGCCAATAAACTTTCATGAAACAAACCGGGATATCCTCAACTGGATTTACATTTAAAGTGCTTAATAATTTATTAGTGGTTCGAAAGGCCACTTCTAATGTACCTAAGTTTTTGATTTTTAAAAATTGACAACTGTTTAAAAGAGTAAAATATTAACTGCCGATTATATCGTCTCGCACGCTAAGTAAGTCTTTTTAACGCTTCCTACATGTGTTGAACTTTTAACCGTTTTGAGCCCTTGTTTTCTGGGCTTCTGGCCTGCTATCCGCTCAAAATTAAATTTCGTTATAATTTTTTAACTGTAGCCTATTTGAATAAAATTTTAAGGAATTTATGCTATTGAGAAACGCTTTGCGTTAAAGAAGAAATATTTTCATAGTGAGTGATTATTGGTTAGGAATTAAGGCAATAATTGCGGTTCATCGTTTATTGAATCAGCACTTTGTCGTAAGGAATGGTACTTCTAGCACTATTCCGCCATATATGTAT